GGACAAAATCTTTTCAAATGGTCCTGAGCTGAGCGTGACGGCTGCAGCTGACAGCCACAAAACAGGTTGCGATATAATCACTTGGTGCAACTATGCATTGACGATGTCGGTCCACAACAAGTGCTTGTTTTTGCCACTGACGTGCTCTGAATAATGCGTAAGTGTTTGACAACATAATGGAAAGGATCCCTAGAGAGACAAACATTTCAGGTAAAGAGTGACATCCTTTATGTTTAACCAGAAACAGCCCCAAAATCACAATCGCCACACCCACCAGACTTCATTCAAAACAACAGCAATTTTATCATCGTAGAACACACTTCATTCAAAGCTGACAGAACAAAATAAAACTCCCCAAAGCTATCTCGGTTCATCCTTCCACTTTTTTCAACAATCACTAACTCTGGTTTGGTTGAAATAAACCCTTAAATCACTTAGTTAGATATGAAAATATGCCGGCTCTATATACGCTTAAATTGCTGTTTATTTAAATGGAGTCTGCTGAGTTTGGTAATTGTGATTAAGGGGCTTTTTCTGGTTGTACGAAAAGGTTCTTACTCTTCAACAAAAAGTCTGTCTCTGTAGGGATCTTTTCCATAATGTTGTCAGACACTTGAAAAACAATATGAGCCTGTCAGTGGCAAAAACAAGCACTTTTAGTGAATTTAAATTAATGGTGCTCAATTGCAGCTTGTTTAACTGATACAAAACACTGGAAAATTGTGTGCAAGTTGGAAAAACATTGAAGTTACCATTTAATATGACATGAGTTTACAGACATGCTCCCAGCTCTGTGAGGTTGCACTCAACAGATTAACCCACTGACACAAAGACCAATCACTCTATCCCTAAAGCATCACTGCTAATGAGGCAAAACCTGGTAATACTGTAAATAGCAACACAACAAGAAATGTAGTGTGGCTCTGTAAGAGATGAATGTTAATTTCAGTCGTTCTTATCGACTTCACCGCAGCACTACACAGGTTCCATGTCGTCTGTGAGATCTGTAATCTCTGCAAAGGGTTCATGTGAAGTCACACACACTCACACACTGTTAAGTATTTTCCTGATGGTAGTCAATAGCTTCACTAATAAAAGGCAGCACAGTAAATATGATCACTGACTGAATAAGCAGTGAGAAATAATGAGGGATACTTTGTGTGTGTGTTGCACAATGCCCATCATAAAAACAAGCTCCAACAGGAGAGCTGTTTTCAGCCATCCCTGAGGAATGTTACACACACACACACACACACACACACTTGCTGTTGCCCAAACTTTTCAGTGATATCTTGCAGTTCCCCTTCCCTCTTATTGTGTCAGAACAATGAGCAACAAAAGGTGAGTCGGTAACTAATCAGCCCTCAGTCATTGTTAACACAGCATTTATTACTCAACTGGAATAACTGTATTGTGCTGCAATTTGAAAACCAGTATACTGCCACGCCCAACAAAATATCATTAGCTTGTGTGTATGTGTGTGCGTGCGTGTGTGCATGCAGGTAAGTACACCTGAGGAAGTGAAGGTTTGGCTGTTGTCCAAACTTTGCCAACGTCAGAACCACACCTTTGTTGATATATGTCACTCGATACCAGTTTGCTAATTGGTCCATTAGCTAACGTTTTAGCTGTGTGTCACGCACACTCGTGACACTGTCAGATACTTTCTCTGCCATTAGGTACCCGCCCGTCTGGAAGCTGATAACGGCAAAGGATAAGGCTGGTGATACTGTGTATTTTTATCAAAACCAGTGATTAATTAATCGTACTAAGTAGCTGAATCTTGTATATGACTCATATCTCCGTGCAACAGAGCCCAATTATTGTCCAAAAACTATTAAAAACACATGTTCCTTCATTACCATAAACATGAGCACTGTAGTTTATTTTGAGCCGGTCCCACACGCACCATCCTGCTGCTGGAAATACTCACTAGAGCAGCAAGTATGTATTAATGCGCAGCTAAAATCAGTCCCCAACTTCTTTTGTCAAGGCATGTTCCTGAACAGCACTTAGTTACAGTTTACCCTGAAACCAGATCACACACGTCACACACACACACACACCATAAAACATCATGAGTCATGGTGACTGCGAAGACAACAGCCTAATGGAGAGGATAAAATAACGAAAGGGTCATCTGACCGAAAACACTTCTGGCATCTGGCTTTCCATTTAATGTAAAAGTCTGTCCGTGATTTAGTGATTAATGAAGTTACACATTAGTTGGAGTAAGTGATCACATGAATGTTGGTGTTTCCCCATTGGCTGTTACTCTTTCAAAATGAATAGGCAAGGACAGCGAGCCCCCAGGAAGTAAGCCCGGCTTTGAAGCCAATTTTCGTAGTCGCAAAACAGTGGTCCTGATGCCATTAGGCCCAAAAAGACTTGTTCCCTTGGACTTAAATTGGGAATGATATGTCTATAAATCAGCGGATACCAACACAGTCCATATAAGGACTTAGAGCTAATGATTACTGTATTAGCAGGAAGTAATGTTGTTGGCTTCAAGACAGTTTTAAATACCAACAGACTGGAGCAGACCTGCCTATTATAGGCTAGTACATGACACCTAATACAACCTCTAAAACGACTGTGTTCACTGCTACACTCACACTGCCAAAGATAATTATAATTACAGAGTATATTTTTGTGTACTACATCATTCTTTTTCTCCTTCCTTCCCATAGTGAGCACGTCCATGCGTAACTTCTCTATCAGCTGTGATGCTGTGGGGGAATTTCTTCCCATGGTGCAGCTGTCTGTGAGAGCACGCTCCACAACCACCAACCCGTCGACCCCTGCAGCGCTCCGCTGCTGTGGATAAACATTTATGTTTATGTATGTGCATACATCACATGCACACATACATTCCTGTGAGAACGCAGGTGCTAAGAAACGTTTGTATATGTTCAAACATGACAGGAAGTGGTATTCTGCTCTGTTTGTGTTTGCAAAATAATTCACAAACAACCAAAGCCACACTCACACGTGAGGTCTGTAATGTGTTTTGTCTGCTCACTGTGAGGATGTAATATAGAAAACACATGTTGGACTGTAAAGACGGATGCACAGAGAAGAGGAGACGGAGAGAGATGGTGACAGATGGGCAGAGGGAGGTGGTGAGCGATACATGCCGTCATGTGATAAGTTCAAGACGAAGGAGTGATGAGGGAGAGGAGGAAGGACAGAAGATGGATGGATGTTTGGAGGGAGGAAAGATAGGAAAGGAGGAGGACAGGAGAAGAAATATGGAGAAATAGTTGCGAGTTACACAGCAGATGGTTAGTTTCTAAAGACGGGAAGGGAAGGAGGGGAGGAGGTTGACAGCATCTAACATTTTTATTCTATGATGGAAAGCCATTAATATGCATTTACTGCACTGTACATTTTTCATTTTAAGGTATGTCTCCCCTAACTTCATTACATTTCAGAAGGGAATATAGTATATCCTTCCTATCAATATTCATTGCTCCTGGTCACAGCAGAGGCTGACATATTTTTGGGACTCCTGTGGGTCACAGGATTCCTGTAGGACGTCCACAGGATGGGAGTCAGTGTCACTATTCAACACGTGACTGAGCGGGAAAAAGTAACATGTCAACGGAAGCACGCAGGACTGGCATCATAATAACAATACTGAGCTAGCAATGTGAAGTCTGCAGCTCTTAGTTTGATCCCTCACAGTTTAAGATAGGGACCTCCACTTGCTTTGCTCAGGAGCCACTTTTGTAAAATGACAGGTGGCTTGAGGCCAGAATCTAGTATTTGAGGACATTCAGGTCTTTGCCCGGGCCTTTTTCTGGCATTCTGGGTGTTCTGCCCCTAGCACTTTTTTGATAGGTAAGCTCTATTTTGATGCTTTTTGAGGCACTATGGTACATTGTTTACTGTCGTAGTACCATGAGGCTGTGATGGCGTGCTGTTGTCTCATTTAGCCACTTGTTAGCAACCGCCTTTTTTAAGACACCCAGACAGACAGGAAAATCTCTTGAGCTTGTGTTCTCCACAGACCTTATTTCAGGCATCTAACCAAAAACCCACTCAAAAAAAAAAAAAAAACAACTGACATCAAGACGAGGGAACCAGGAGTGCTAAAATGCTAACTCATTTGCGGGTTCAGGACTCATTCCTGGAGCACTCTTTCACGCGCCAAATCTTGCTCAAAATAGGGATATAAATTGAGTATCACTGGCATCGGAAGATAATATTATTGAAATGCTAATTTCTGTTAGCTCGATGCTAACACATAATTGGAATTACTATCAATTCAGAGCATGCGAGTGGGCTAAGCGCTAGTGATTTGTCACGATTGTAGCAGTTGTGCTAGCTGTGTGAGGAGTTATTTCAGCATGATGCTATACTGCATATTTCACTGAACATGCTTAGTTTGTTATATATAAATATGAAGTTCTAATATGAATGAAAGCTTTTTTCTTTAATTAAAAACAAAAACATCTTTCTTTTGTCCATAATTAATCGATAATTGCATTGTAATATGGTACCATAGTGCTTTTTCTTCCTGTTTACTTGCAGTTGGTTATCTCTACATTAATCTTAGTTCAAGCAGCCATGTTGTGATAATATTAAGATTAATTCAAATGTTAAAGGTGATAGTTAAGATTGAGGTGTTATTATAATCTACAGTGTTATAAGTAACCACGATGTCAAGCTGCAAACACACACCCACGAACCAAAGGGAAAGAATTTAGCAGGCTGTGTTTATGTGTGTGTGTGAGTGTGTGTGTTAAGAGCAAAGAAAGAGAGTCTATTTCATCTTTACAACCATTTGAAATGCAGGAGTCACATTATTCTCATTAGCAGAGCTGCTGACAGGTTGGCAGGTGAGGAACGCAGCACAAGTACAAAGTGTGTGTATGTGTGTGTTACAGCTGTGTAAAAAAAAAAACAAAACAAAACAGCAGAGAACTCAAGAGAAAAACAGAAACAGCGACTGATAGAGATTTATGTGAAAACATCTACAAATATATGTGGTCTACCTGTGTGTGAGCCAGTCTTTGGGGAGGATCCAGAGACCCTGAGCGAGCACTCCATCTTGGCCGTTTCCCACGGATACACGCTGGTGGTGTCTGATTGGATGGCGACGGAGAAGGACGGGCCTGCAACGGCAAACACACCAGCTCGTATAAGCTTTAAAAAACATTTGACACAGACAGCAAACATCAGAGAGACTCAAGTGAGATCAAAAGGATTCACTGACTGTGTTTAAACCTATATACTATAATTCTGCATTCAGGTCCCTGAAGAGCGGCTTGAGATGTGAGCACACTGGGAGAAAATGGTGTTGGGATGGTAAACATGCTTTAAAGTCACAGTGTGTGATTTCACTGATATGCTGAAATCAACAAGGACAAACAGCTGTGGTGAAGATCAATAGAGACCGACGAAAATAGACGACTTTTAAGGTGTAAACACATTTAGATTCACTGTTTAAGGGTATTTGCACTAGAATTGGCTGCTGCAAAGCTGACCCCGCCCCATTTTAATATGTCTTACACAAGATTAATGGTGCGTTCAACATTCCCAGTCGGAAATTTCAACTGGAACTCCCCAAAGTCAGATTTCTGACTTCTAAAGTCAGAGGAATGAAACCAGCCCCACCTCAAAATCCAAAATGGCTGTTCTGTGCTTCAACAGTAGTGAAAGCTGAAGTAATTTAGTGTTTAATATCATTTCTGTCTCATTAAATCAGTCATACACACAGTACTGTCCAACTTCTATCTGTCGACACATCACTACTGGCTTGTGTACAGCCTAATGCATTGTTATTAACTGGTATTGCTAACAGTGGCTAACCTGGCTACAACTGGTGTTGTACATCCTGGATTTCCAACTTGCTGTACTGGAATGTGATTTGACTTTTCATGCAAGTGTCCGCCATCCCCCTTTGAACAGTATTGCTGTTTTTATTTTAGCAACAAAATGTGTCTGCCCAATTCATGTCTCTTGTTCTGTATGTTATTTTATTCTCTGGTTGCATGCTCAGTTGCATGCTCTGTGTATTACATTCTGTTTACTGGCTCTGTTTTGAATTTATGTGATTATTGCAAAATCATGCTGGCATTTTTGACGATTAGTGGCCAGTGTGTAAGAGCCGAAACTAATTTTTGTTAATGTAGTTACATTGCTTATAGAGAAAGACATATAAAAGGTGTGTGCCTCCCAGCTACGGATGGGCACATATAATATTTTCCAGATCTAGTCATCACATGAATTACTCAAGGGAGGATCAAATCCTCGTGGAGGAAAAAAACTATTTTTAGAACGCATCTTAAAGAGCATGGGAGCTGCAACAACAATCGCAGCACTATATGTGATGCATGATGCTCATTTTCAATCAAAACAGTCACAGGTACCATTTATTCACTGCTATCAAAATGTGACAGAAAAGCAATAAATAATAGGTCTACTAATGACACAAAGGCGTCAACTATTGGATGTGCAAGATTAAACCACCGTGCGCCCCGCAGCTTTAGTGTCAGGTGAGCCACTGACAGCTTGACAGCGGCTGATACACTTTATAGTTTGTAATGGTAATGGAGATAACACATAGTTGTGTTATACATACATGTGGAAACATTTTAAAATATATAGGCTACACATACACATGTAAGGTTGAGGTTCCCTCATTAGTTCACACTCCATATTGGGTCCGGATGGGGACTTGAGCTGCTAACCCTCTGGTTCCCAACCCAAGTCCCTATGGACTGAGCTACTGCCACCCAAATCTATTTACTTTCAAAGAACGTTTTGCTCATGGACCCTCTTTTTGGATCACACGAGTCATAAGGAACCCTACGAAGCTACAACTGGAATCTGAATGTACACTGTCAAGGAAATGGTCAGTAATGGATGAACTTAAGAGTTCTAACTTTGATACAATACCTTGAAAAAGTCCACATCCAAACCATTTTCAGTAACAGGGAAAGTTCAGTTTAGGACTAGATGTTACAACTGATGCACATACTTGAGTAATAGTGCCGTCTGGGGGTCTGAGTGGGAGCCAAAGGGTTAGATGGATAGAAATGTAGGAGAAAAGAAGGAGGACAGGGAAGTCTGAGCCAAGGAGAGACGTCTGAGCAGACTGAACTCTCCCCTACTCCCCAATTTTGAGGAGGGAAGAGAGGGGAGAAGAGAGAGGAAACTAACAGGAGAAAAACGTACCTAACTTCGGTCAAGGTGGAGTTTAACATTGACAACATAAAAGTTACAAAGAGAAAATAAAACGCAGCTGGTACAGGTGGATACTGCGGAAAATTAGTATTGAAACTGTTTCAAAGATTAAGAATAGATATATATCGATAAATCGACATTTTAGACAATACTAGATGGAATGCAATACAGTGAATTTTATGATGATTACCTTTTAGATTCTGATTTAATCTATTGTGCAAGGCAGGCAGTACTTTTCACAGCTGACATCTTAACTTGTTACAGCAGAAGCACAGGTGTTACGAATAACATTAACAAAGTGAGTCATGACAGTGTGACAGTGAGCCGGCATGCACACTAAGAGGACCCATTAATTTCTTTATTTACACCTGTGCCTTTCCTGCTGTGACATGTCTTCGCTGAAAAAAGCCTTATTCAGTTTATTACACTGGACTGATGGTGCTTCTAAAGAGAAACCAAATTTCTGAAAAGGAAAAACTGACTTGACTTGATTTGACTTGAATGTGGCTTTGGAGGAAAGGTTGCAGGGAGGCATCAAGCTCATCCTGATCCGACAAAATGTCACTTTCCTCTGGACTCACACGTTAGAGACAGATGGACTGGCGGACAGACAGAAGGGCAGACAAACCAACTGCTGTTCCTGGATACTAGTGTTATCTGGTGATTTGGCCCCAGCTCTGTAAGGACATAACTGCTGGCTTAATGTTCGAAAGTGCCGTGTGTAGCTGCCTGTAAAACATTAACTCTGACGTATAAATCCATTCATGCTCAAGTGTCATGTTGTGGCTTCCAGTGTATGGATACTTTCAAGTCATCTCGGATAACATTTAAGACGTGACAGTTTTCCCCAAGAATGCTGCATTAATCATGCTGTGGTGTAAACAATCTACTGTATAATACATGCTCCCTGGCTGCATAAACACCATGTGGATGGATATAAAACATCCTCCCTGGGTCTTGGCACTGGTGCGCTGTAAGTGAGTAAATCAGTCTTTTCTTAAGTCTAACAGGAGCGTTCAAGAAACACTTGCCCAATGCCAAAATGTTTTACATAACTAGTGTTTACATTAGAAAGCATGGCAGTCGGATATTAATACTCTTTCTGAGGGAATTATCAGCAGCATCTTTAGCAACTTATTTATGTCTCTACTTTTTTCTTCACTTTCTATAACTAGAAGTGTTTTGTGGGCTGTAAACTGCTGTGAATGTTTCATGTTGCAGCACCACTTGCAAAACCTTTGGTCATGACAGGAGCACCTAGACAGCCTAGGACAACCTTACCCACATCAGCCTACAGGTTAGTTTTGCTGCTCTTCAGTTTATGTCACTGTGCACCAACTGGGTCTGGTGGGAGCTAGCTAGCAATGCCACTCGTACAGCTATTACTGCTAATAATGTGGATCTGACCCAACAGTTTTGCTGCTGAAACATTGTGCCAACCCTCCCAATCTGCCCCCACATAGCCCTGGTAAGTAAGAAACCCCCTTAAGCATAGTTAACTATGTTATCACTGTTAGCACTGTTAGCAGTGTCAGCGTGGCTAGTGGTTCTAACATATGGTAAAACTTCAAATGATAGCCTGGGCTTTTATTTGCTTCAACCACTGAACTCAACTGACCTACTTAAGAGAGTAGTCTATATGGAAAAGGCTTTTAATTCCTTTCATACAAGCAAGACAACTCTAGGTCTGAAAGCACTCTCGGATTTTATTTTAAGTTTTCCGAAAATCTCAGAATGAGCGGCCATGTGTTGCTCCCACCTGACTGGGGTGGTGCGCAGTGCAGAGCAGGCAAGGCAAATGTTGGCTAACCAGTGGAGACTGGAGGGTGGGCAGTGGGCACTATGTTTCCTCATGTTAAGGTGGCTGTCAGCAAAGCCAACAGAAAATAAAATAAAATACATCTAGATCACAAAACATTACAACTAAAAGGAAAGGTACATTTCACGTCACTTTGTGTTTTTTCCTTTAAAATGTACCTATTAGTTACCAGTTAATGGGCGTTGGGCCATTGAAAGCCAGATTGACTGAAACCGACATCCCTAGCAGGGACATCAAGTCTGGGCAAAAAATCTGTTAAAGCAAATGGCTCCTTCACAATACACTTCTTCATGACAAAACACTGCCTTAAATGTTGATGTATTGTCTTCATTTCACTGCTGTCAAGCTTTTGAGACAGCTTTCAAACCACTCATCAACAACAATAATGTCTCATTTGCTTCCAAGACGAGCGATGCAGAATTCATTACTCTCACAATGAACAATCAAACGGCATTGTGTCCAACAAACCACACGACTGTCCCTCTCTAAACATATATGAGGGTTTCTCTTTCTGCAGTGTGGGTCTTCATGTTTGGTTATGGGCTGTAATATTTACCCGCTGATTTAAGTGCTGAGATCGTAAAATGTCAGATGGTTTTAAACAAGTTTAACCAAATTATGTAAACCACTTATTTGGAAGCAAAAACAAAAAGGGAACACACCCTAAACAATTACAGCATGGAGCATGGGTTAAACCAGAGGGCAGCTCTACAAAATCTCATGAACATTGACAGCAATTGTACATTTAACTTTGCAGAGTCACAGTGTCTGCACAGCTCAGAGAGATTAAAGAATAACCCACAAGAATTAACAATAAAAATCAGATCCAGGTTGTAAAAATACAGAATTTCCCTTAGAAATGTGGGATTGTTGGACTGATTTGAAAGCTCAGATTTAAAGCCATAAAATACAACTCATGAAGGAGGATATTGGGAAATCTTTACATTGATCCTACTCTAGACGAAATATGACATGTTTTTCCACTGGCCACTCCATATTTATGTTACCACCCATCCACAAAATCACTCAAACACTGAATAATTTAACAGAAAATGTGCTGGTGAGACTTTGCATTTCCATATACGGCATCGTAAAAGATCCCCATACAGGCAGAAACACCACAACACGTCTGAAACATTCAAGATACAGCTGGAACCTTGGGAGATTTGCCAGTTTGTGGATGTGCTCGTAACACACACACACACACACACACACACACACACACACACGACTGAGTGCACAGAACTTCCGTCCCCCAAGGCGAGTATAAGGGGTTCTTGAAAACTGCTCAGCTTGAAGCTTGAACACTGTCAGTGTGCGTGTTTGTGTGTGTGCGTGTTGCTCTGTGTGGGGTCAACTCAAAATGTTCGACTCGGATACACACACTTGAACAATTGAAAGATTACACACACACGCAGAAAAGGAAAGCAGCGGTGCAGATCTCTGCAGCTGGCTGATTGGCCAAAGGGCTTCACTTTGAAGATGTCCCAGAGAGAGGAGGAGGGAGGGGGGAGAGAGGTAGAGGGAGACAGTGGGGGTGAGACAGAGTGAAAGGATGGCGGAGAGAACGGGGGAGGAAAAACGGCAAGTGAACGAGAGAGAAAGAGGAAGTAACGCTCAAGGGCTGCTGCCCTCCCCAGAGAGAGATGGAAGATAGTCTTCAGTCCATCTTTCTCTCCTTCGCTGTCATCTTTCTTTCTTTCTGCGCCGTCTCTTCACTCCTACAGTCCTGAAGTTTTTTTTTTCCCTGTAAACCTCATTCAGATGGTTTAAAACGCTGCAGCCCGTCTTCTGTCAAACGTGTAACAAAGTAATGTGAAGGGAGGAGGGACTACATGGTGGAGCGAAGCATGATGAAGAGCAGATTTCTGATTTTGTTTCATATAGTAACTCACGGCCTCTCAGCCAAGCTAACCAGTGACTTCTCCCAGTACAGCCTGACATATACTGGACTCTGTCAATCTAAATATCTGAGATTTTAAAAATGTAAAATTGAAATAGGGCTGTGCAATATATCAATGTTATATTGATATCGTGATATGAGATTAGATACTGACTTAGATTTTGGTAGGGTTGCCCCATAATAGTCGACCAAATGTAGTCGACCAGAGAGGTCATTAGTGGTCAAGATTTCATTGGTCGACACAGGAAAAGGGCCACGTTCAGCAGTCAGACAGGAGTCATGTTACAAACCAATCACAGCCGACAGATATCTTTCCCTTCTTCTGTAAATATTCAGTCTGATAAACACGGAAAAGTTGATCATTTAGTGCAGGGCTACCCAGAGCTTTACATCTGCTTACACACTTATAACAGCTCCTGGAAGAAGATCAGCTCTGCACTCAGGATTTCAGGTAAACAGGCTATACAATGCTCGTTAAGGTTGCTTAGCAACCTCAGACTCAACCTGCCACCGGGCTCTTGAAAGCTGGCATAAAAAAGGCATAAGAGTAGCACCCAACGCCCGGCCTCGCGTTTTCCAGGCGGTTAAAGATGCCGCATGTGTACGGCCCCTAATTAACAGGGCTGGTACCTGTGGTTATCACACAGGCTAGTCAGTAACATGTCGGGCAGGAAATCCAAAGTGTGGGATCATTTTGAGAGGGTGAAGGATGAACCAAAGGCTCTCTCATCAATCTATCTGATCGACTGATCACTTATCCACCCCACGACTCAAAATTCCACAAACTGCCGCTGAGGAAATGGAGACTTGTGAAGAGTTCTGCCTGCGCTGCATTCAGGGACCCACAAAAATCTCAGAATTTAGAGAGCGGTCACAGACTGATACACAAGGACACACAGACAAGAAAAGAAACAGCAGAAAGTTGAATTTCACGGCCTGATAATGGCCTTCTGAACCTAAGAGTAGGTGTGGAAAGTGCCAACTAACCCATATCTTTGACATTTATCACCACTGACAACCATTCAATGGTCAGATTGGCTGGTATGTGTAGTCTCAACAATGTTCATTTACATAAATGTCTCTTAAGTCTCTATCTGTCACCAAATACAGTAACACAATGGTGACTGAGCCTATGGCCTGCTGTTGAAAGCGCTTGCAGTTGCAGTATTACAAACTGGGTGGGTGATTCACCAGAGAGGGAAGGCGGAGTTGTGGCACCAGACTCGCTCTTATACTCATGCCACAAAGGTGACATCGTTTGGAATTTTGGAAAGTAGGATCACCAAAGACACCTGCAATTACTGCTTATCGCCATAGGTGCTGCCAAGAGAATGAAACCGAGTTCGTCACTTAAACATAATTATGTTAAATATTTTTATGTGCACTGTCCTCCCTGTTTGATATTTTCTGCTTAAGGTTTTAATTGTGAAGCATTTTTTAAGATTTGTTTTGAAAAGTGTTTTATACTTCTTTCCCAACTCATCCTCTCTTCCATTTTCCCCCTTCATTTCTTCCACCCATTCCTCCCCATATTCCCTCTTCCCCCTTCTTGCTCCTCTGTCTCATTACCCTACTCTTTCGCCACATTCCTCCACCTTTTCCTACTCACCCATCTGTCAATCACTCCTTGCTTTCCTTTTGTCTTCCTCCCTCTCCTCTTTTTTCCTTTCCTCACTTCCCTTTTCCTGTCTCCCCACATTCTTACCATTTCTCCCTGTTCGCCTCACCCTTTGTCCTTGTCGCCTTTTCCTTTCCGCCTCCTCAGCCCACCTCGCCACCTCCCTCTCTTTGTCTTCCTCCTTGTCGCCTCCCTCTTCTTCCTCCTCTCCCCCTCTGACGCTCCTGTTCCTCCCCTTGTCTCCCACCTCCCAGTCAGATCAAAGAAAGTTAAGTAGGCCAGTGGCTGTGGTGGGCGTCAAAGGGCTTAAGGTGTGTGTGTGAGTGTGTGTGCATCTTTATTTTTGCACATTATTAGAGAATTTATGTTGGTTATCATAAACACTGTGTGGGTGGATGGTATGTGTGTTTAATGTGTTTAGAAATGTACAGCACTGCTAATGTACTTCTATCTGTAGACAGTTTCTCCAGGATATCCAGGATGATTAACATCGATTGTTTTTCTCTGGTATTTTTGCTCAGATTGGTATCAAAGTGAATATGGGATTGAATGGCTTAAAAATGGCTTTAAATTAATGATGATTCTTACTGAGTGTTAGTAAGTATTCTCCCAACATTTAGTCTTCTGCTATGCTCTTTGTACACAGCCTGGTTGTAGGAAATTTTACTTAATCATACGACTGGACCTGAATATTCACTTTTATGGTTATTCTTTCATTTGGTATATAATTTGTTGCCTTGTTTAAATGTTTAACAGCCAATCAAAGTGCTGCACACAGCAGACAAGGACTGATTGATTGTGAGATTGTTGAGACTGTTTAACGGATCGGTGTTGGATGCTGGCCGCTGCTGCAGAGTTAGCTTACGCCAATCGGGCAGACATTGAACTGACCATTCATCAGGAGGAGAGCAGTTACAAAGCATTTAACCTGTGGAACAGATCTGAAATCTGTTGGCACTAGTATGCCGTTTCTGCACTTCTGTTTCACAGCTGTGTCAGGTGTTGTCCCGGATTCAGAGCCTATTATTATGACCACTAATGTTCAGCAACACCCCCGGCCAAAGCCTCAAATATTTGCTGTTCATTTTACTACCGAAGCTCCGGAACCCAAAGACAGTTTTCAGGGCAGCCAAACTAAATGAATACAATGTGTTAATCAGAAAAGAATAATTTAGAAACAAGCAAGAGAATCTAAAGGGTTATGTATGGTACACACAGCAATCAATGCTTTCAGCTTTGGCAAAGTTTTGAAGTATTTTTTAAAACTATCAATAATTAAAATTGTGTAAACACCAAACACACACACTGACTCACCATTTTCCTGAAAGTCGATCTTGACTTTGTTGGACTCTGCCCTGGTGGCTTTGGTCCAAGCATGTCCCGGCTGCTGTTTGGTCCATGCCGTGATGTCACACCAGTAGAAACCTCTGTCGGACAACTGGACACCTGCCAGGCGAAACCGAAACTCTGCCGGACCAGACTTTGTCAGAACCAGACCGTCTCTGAGTGGACAGAGAGAGTGCGAGACATGAAAGCATTTCAAAATCAAACACTGACTCCAGTGCATCATTAAAGTGATGTGTTGATGTATACATGTACCTCCTGTTGGGGTCTGTGGCTCCTCCGTGCTGCAGGACGCTGTCAGGGCTGAGTGTCATGATGGTTTTCACGTTGCTCTCCACGTTCTCCTGTGATTGGATGAGCACTGAGTAACCTGCCTCCCCGAGGTTCTCAGTGGACACAGTGCAGCTCATCTCAAAGGTAGCTCCACCCACTGTGGCTTCACGGATACGTTTGGCAACGACGTTAAGAGTAGGACCTGAAAATAATGCCAGTCAATCAATCAATCAATCCATTAACTTGAACTCTGTGAACTCCCAGTGTCCGCAGGGGGAAATCCCCAATGGTGGCCAACAGGAAGTGAGCCATTACATCATGAACTTGTTCTGGTTCAAAGCAGGCTCACACACACACACACACATACATATATATACACATACACAGCAACGCAGTTACATCATGGCTCAATTAACCAAATTGAGGGCACCAAGCTCAGAAAGTGGGACTGGAATAGAGAGGATGTGTGTGTGTGTGTTGTGGATAAAAGAGGCTGAGACAAGAGATCTGTTGTTATCTTGAAGGATTTTACTCTGAAGTCTGGATATGATATGTAGACATTAAAGCTTATTCATAAAACTCAACAGCGGGGTTACTGTCACCGGCTGGCAGTATATTACAGTTTTCTTAATCATGAATGTGAGTTAATGGTTTGGTTTTTCTGAATTTCTCTTAAAGTGCCTCATTAAATCAAAGATTACGACGTGGAGTAATTGTTGATTTCCCCATAGTGCCGAGTGTTGGAGGTATCGGCAGTAGAGATGTCTTCGATATAACGGAACTAGATGGCACTCAGCTTGTGGCGCTCAAAGTGCCAAAAAATATATTTGAAAAACTCAACAGCAATGTCTCTTTCCAGAAATCATGACACACTTACTCAAGATAATCCACAGACCTTGTTGTGAGCAGTTTCATGTGGGAACTATTTTCTTTCTGCTGAACTACACCCACCAACCGCATCACCGCTCAGAAGGAAGCGTGCATCTACTGCAATATCATGCAATAATATAATTCACCAAACAGAAGATAACACAACAGATGAGGACAGACATATAAAGTTTCCTTACGTTTCATATCCCACTGTACAGCCAGCGGTGAGCTCTTGTACTCGACAGTGTTCACCATGTCACCCTGGCTGTTGACACTCCAGGCTGACACAGTGCAAGCATACTGGCCCATGTCGATCTCCTACAGACAGAGTGAAGATGAGTCGGTGATCAACATCAACAACATTAGCTTTAGGACTAAACATATTTTGGATTTTGAGATTCACAGAGAAAACTACTGTTTTATGTACATGTGTATGGCCACATTGACAGATTGTCACCTTTTAATGTTGTTGTGGCGAACGTGCTAGCAAACAATTGCCAATTTACATGTCAGCCAAAGAGCAACATTAGCCTTAGTTTGTATCTGTTCACTCCATGAATGTACGTCCCATAATGACTCTCATTTAGCTCTATTCTGGTCTCTACCAAATGTTCATCAGGCTGTTGCTAACTGTGTCTTAATCTGTTTTTATCTGTTTACAGGCTGCCTTTAATCTGGTCATCACAGGTATAGTGACTCCAACATCATGATGTTTACCTGTGTGCGGAGAACCCGCAGTTTGAATGTGTTGGGCTGGACTCTGGTCAGAGACATCACGCCGCTCTTCAGCCTGTCAGAATACGTCTGTCCCGGCAACATGTTGCCATGGCTGTCCAGGGAGCCAATGGGATGCGAGGTCTGAGGATCATCCCCTATACCTGCAGGTGATTGGACAGTAATCAAGTTTAGAGGTGATTTCTAGTTATTTCTTTAGTTTTTTTCAAGGTCCAGTGTGTCGAATTTAGGTGAATCTATTGACAGAAATGCTATAAAATATTCATAATTATATTTTCATTAGTGTATAATCACCTGAAACTAAGAACTGTTGTGTTTTCGTTACCTTACAATGAGCCTTTTCTGTCTACATACAGAGTCGGTCCTCTTTCACAGAGAGCCACATTGTTTCCACAGTAGCTCAGAACAAACAAACCAAACACTGACTCTAGATATGCCACTAAACCAGGGTTGCCCAAACTTTTTTGAACGTGGGACAGATAGATAATGTGAAAATACCTAAGGGCCAACTGATTCTATCATTGAATGGGTCATTTAAAAAAAAGAAAAGCCACAAACAGGACAAACACAACAGCCTAGTCTACAACAGTGGTTCCCAACTGGTCCAGCCACGGGGTCCAGATTTCTCGTTGGTCATTAGTTCAAGGTCCACACAGGTTAATACATTCAGCATCATACTTGTGTTTGGCCATGTCATCAAGCTAGTTTGCAGTCTCTGTCAAGTAGCTATTTGTTAGTCACTCACTCTACAGCAGGAAACAGTACTTCAAAATGACAGCACTGTGCTTAAAATTCACTCTACTTCAAAATAAAGTGTGTTTTTTACAAATTTGACGTGTTCAAAAGCCACCTGTGGCCCATTCCGAATGGAACTGCAACCCACTTTTGGACCACGACCCACCAGTTGGGAACCACTAGTCTACAAACTTTATGACAGTCCTGGCATTGTGAGGGGAAGGGGAAAAATGCAAAGTGATTGATCAACTAATATTTTGTGGCAGGCGACATATGGTATATTTAGAGAGTCAAGATGAGGAACATTTACGCTTAATCCTACACACTAGACCTTTAAATAATTCTGTGGACATATGACAGATTTTGAAAAAAGCTGAGGTGAAAGTACCAGGAAGTGTGGTGTGCTCCCACGTGACACCCAGTCGGCCTCCCCGGGGTAAATGGGTAATGTTGGTCACACGGCATGCCAGCTCTGTGGGTTCAGCCGTCATCTGTGGGTTCAAGACGGCTTCGAGGGTCACCGTGAAGCTTGGCTCTAGCGGGAAAAAGTGACATAAAATTAAAGTCAATATCATTATATGCAAACATTAAGAAGCTTTTAATGACATAAACGTTAGCAGTGTGATCCCAACAAAGGAATCAGATCCAGGGCAGCTACATTTTGAAGCTTGATATCTGCATATCTTGGTCAGTTATTGAAGCAACACCTTTCTTATTTCAGAAGGGGGTGGAGATGAGGAGGGGCGACCAAGCTGTGACACCCTGAGACACTCATCAGCACCAGCAAACACACCTATAAACACATAAGGCCTAAAGAATGTCACAAAAGCCCAACCCTGAAGCTTTGTGAGACCCAACAACTGCTGATGAAAAGCAGGGCATTGTATTGTCATACAAAGTGAAACAGCTTTATTACACCACAGCTCTCCTGACAAAACCACGCAGCCGGTTCATTTAAGGTACGGTCAGTTTCACAATCATGAGCTCCCCATTCAAACAAGACCCTGTGAGACATGCACATCGTTATGTAAATGTGCTTTTACACCTCGGAGGCAAACAGGAAACATTTTTGTACAGCTACACATTCAGTATATATTTAATCATCACTATTGTCTGTATCACTGAGGCTGAAATTAATACTCTTTTCAAAGAAAGAATCAGCACCCTGGTGATTGAACAACAACTCCAACCTAATAATACCATATATCGAGTTACAGTACTGCGCCGCCTCCAGAGAAATGATTCCCATCCCAGCAGGGCGTTTCTTTCATCAGTCATCATTTTACAACAGCCCTGAATCTTCAGACAAATGCAAAGTGAATCCTGTTTTTGTGTGTGTGGTTTGGTCCTTAATATAGAGCTGAGTGAACGAGCCAGACAACAGAAATAGACCTGTGTGATATGAGGTGTGTATCACAGCGTTAATAGTGTGTGTGCGTGATTGTGTATGTGTGTGTAGGTGGCGAGGCAGGTCGTCTCAGTCAGACATCCAGATTGCACCTTTACGCCTCGATGAACAGGAAACACACAGAAAGATTTCCACCTGCTTAACTGTGAGATGCCCCCTCCCCCCAGCACACACACACACATGCGGTGACATACTGTATATGTATTTACAAGTGGTCACTGACAAACCGCACATGCCTTAAGACACACACAGCAGAAACATGATTAATACAAGCACATACGTAAGAGTGCGCCTGAGTGTGTGTTTGACCAAGGAGGGGCTTTGCGTGATGTCACTTGGACGTCATACACACACACTGACTCATGCACTGTCACCATCTGCTGTAAAACACACACACGCGTGCGCACACACTTTGATCGATGAGAATGTGTGAACTTTCTCTGCCAATTTGCCACTCGCCTCACTCTCTCTCCCACACTGATATGTTGCCTTATTTAGTCAAACAACTTGTCACCAGTTCAGGAGCTGTGGTCCTGCGCAGCACCAGTATACCACAGGATACTGGATCTGACCAGTACAGGGTTTAACAGTCATGCATTTATTTTGGTTAAGCCAATAATGACTGTACCAATATTTTGTGCTAAATTAAATACAAAAATCTGACAGTTTAGCTCTTCTGACAGGATAACAAGGAAAACGCCTGCAGGTTAAATCACATTAGACTTTAAGCCTGTTGAAAAACACAATAGGAATAGACAATAAAACCTAAAAAAAATTAAAACAAATATTCTGAATTGTCTGAGACTTCAATGAATTCTGCCATAACCAAGACCATTAAGGCCTTAAAATTAAGACTTACTTACTGTAATTTCAGACATTTTAAAGGTCCAGTGTGTAGGATTAAGGGGGCTATAGTGGCAGAAATGGAAGATAGTACAGTAAGTATGTTTTCTTTAGTGTGTAATCACCTGAAAATAAGAACTGTGTTTTCGTAAACTAGGATGAGCCGTTTATATCTACATAGTTACCTTGTCCTTGTCCATGGAGATCACCAGTAGCCAAGACACTGGCACACATTTTCGCATCAGCCACCATAGTAAGCAGCACATTTTTTATCATGATACTGCTTCAGTGTTTTTCCCAATTTAAATCACCAAGTGTGTTTGTTTTGGAGAAGAGGAGTCCTCTGAAGATAATTCAGCTCCTGGAAAAAAAACCCTTAACTATCAAAAGAGCTATTTTTGACCGCCTGGAGCCACAAAACATATTTGGGCCTTATGGTAACTCTGGAAATTAGCCTAAAGTCATACAGAATAGGTCTAAATGAGCATTCATTGTTAAATTCTGTATTTTCCTCTGAGACTTTAACTTTTATGGATTTGGGATCCATTACTAGCCTAGCTAGGGAGTCTCAAGACTAGCCACCGCTGTTGAGGTTTAGCAAAATTTGGAGGAAAAGGTGCCAGGCTGTACACATACGACGCACATTTTAGTTTACAAAATGCTTTTTTTTTTTGTTTTTTTTTTTTCTCTTCAAATTCAGTGCACAGGCTACATATTTTTTTTTTTCAATTAGAGAATGTAAGAATATCTTTAGGCTTACAAGAATAATAAATAAAAATGAAAATGCTAAAAAAACACAACAACAAGTTACTCAATTTCATGTGATATTTTTTGTCGAAACCATAGAGAGCCACTGGAAAATGGCTAATGAGCCACATACTGTCTGGCTCCAGAGCCGCAGGTTGCCTACCACTGGCCCAAACACTGAAAACCTAAGGAATGCTAACCAGGGGAAGTTACAATCTGCAATCCTCACTGCTAGATACCACAAATTCCCCCCTCAATCCCCCTAAATCTTACACATTGGACATTTAAGACATTTCAGGGAAACGCAAACAACCTTAACATACTAATATTTTATGTTACTAAGACTTTGAATGATTCAGGATTAGATGCCTGAAGTGAAGCAGAAGTGAAGCAAAGCAGTGCTTTATTCTGATCTAGCAGGTTTTTAATCACTTACAGACTTTACACTTTATTATGTATGTTTCTTTATTTAGTGCTTTAAAATCAACAACATATCCCACTGATTTCAGTGTTATTTTAAAAGGTTAATCCACAATAGCTGTGGGCAACTGTTGTTTGTTTACATGCAGCATACTGTACATGGAGAGCAGATGAAACAGGGGCTACATTTTGGTACCAGTCACTGCAGATACAAATTCTTCACTGGTTATTCATTTGTAACAAAATGAATATTAATGCATCGTTTATGTCATACATCAAGAAGAAATACCAAACACTTGCTAAATAATTAGTCTCAAATGGGGTAATTTGCACCTTTTTCTCTAATGTGCAATTCACTTTAAAGTCTTTGCAATTTTGGAAGTCATGTCAGACAGAATAAGTCACTTTGGGCGCAGTGCAGTTTGTAGATTAGGATTAAGGGATGTAATTATAGACTCATCAATAATTAAAATAAATGTTGCAGGGTGGGCAGTACACAATGTTTTACAAGGACGATGATGTTATAATGACTGCCCCTTACACATAAAAAAAAAAAAAATCTGAAGGGAGTTTGGCGACTTTCTCCCTGCTTGACAAACAAGTTTGTTGCTGCAACTGCAGATATAATCTACACAAACATGGCCGACATATTTTTGCTTGAATTGGTGGGGTGAAACACAAACTTCTCTCCCCTCTGACTCTTATTGTGATTAGTTATTTTGCTTGTCTGTATAAGATGATGCAACACAGATGTTGTCTTTGATGTAGCTTCCTTTAAAAAAAAAAAAAAAAAAAAAAAAAAAAAAAATGATACAGTGATTTGATTGAGTGTCTGAAAACAAAACTGCACAGTCACTTCATGGTTTGCTGGTTAAACCCAACAGTCTAAAGCTGAGATATTTGTGTGTCCTAAACGTTATCAATTCAGCTGCAAGTTAAAAAGGAAGGAAGTTCTACAGATAGATCTATATGACATAAACTGACCACAAGTTCAACAGTCAACAGACAATCAGGCAAATATAGCAGTGCACTAAGAGCCCTGCAGAACCACAAAGCCATTCAACACTCTGCACTTTCTGTGAAAATGAAAAACCCCAAACTTCATGTTAAAGAGTCAGCGATGCTTCCGACCTCACGTCATGTCCTCACACAACTGAGACTCATAGCTTGAGCTGCTCTTCTGGCCATTCTGCACTCTGTAGAGTTTAGCAGAGCAGAAATTGTGTAAAAACAAGCTTTAAAAAGAAGAAAAGGCTCTATTAGCGCGTGGCTCGGGGAGGCAGAGTGAGGAAAAATAGGTCAGTGTCAATAACACAACAAACTGCTTTCATCTGCATCGCGCTGCATGTGTTCATTTTAAGAAGCCGCTCTTGGTTAGAGGCTCTTAGTTAGTTTGCAGTGGGTGTAATGGTGATTTTCATTTGCCACTGACTGCTTTCAAACGTTATGATATCTCATTCATTATTTTTCTGCTCCTCACAGAGCAAATCATTAGCGAACACGCTGACTGTTCAATTAAGAGAGCGAAAGCACAACTACTGTTTTATTTTCAATGTCGATTAATCTACCAATTATTTTCCCAATTAATAAATGATTAAAATGTCAGCAAAATGTGAAACATGGCCTCAGAAGCTCCCGGAGCCCAGGGTGCCCGTGTTTTGTCACTTTAACCAACAGTCAAAAACCCCAAAATATTCAGTGTATTATAGTAAAAAAGCAGCTGAGTCGCCAGAATATTGGCACTGTACATTTCTGCAAACCACGGATGTTACATTGTCGAAACCCATGTGAGATGGCTGCCAAGCAGAAAACAGCAGTAGACCACTGTTTGAGACATTAGACGGTGGTTTTTAATGAGAGTTTATCCAGCCTTGCTTTTAGTGACAAGGTGGGTATTTTTTAGAGCAGTTTGGGACATTTTAAGCCATGTCTGTAGCGACAAAAGCGGGTATTTCTAAACAACAGTTCCAGACATTTCAAGTTGTGCCTGTGGTGACAGGAGCTGGTATTTTTTAACGACAGTTGAAGTATTTTATTTTTTTTTTTTTTAATAAAAAATTTCCATTACATTTCCAGCCATGTTTTTAGCAACATAAGTGGTTATTTCTTTACGACAG